CTTCCACATGCTTTGTTCTAGCATGAAATACTGGATTTTCTGCCAGCCGAATTGCAGATTGGTTGTCACAGTGAAGTGGTACTGCATAGTCAACTTTTTGATGTAAGTCCTCCATTAGGAGTACCAACCATGTACTTTCTTGAGCTGCTACAGCCGCTGCTTTGTACTCCGCTTCCGTGGTTGACAATGATACTGTTGGTTGTCTTTTACTACACCATGATATTGGTCCTGACCCAAGCTTGAACACATACCCAGTGGTTGATCTTCGGGTATCATGGTCTCCTGCATAGTCAGCATCACAATATCCAACCAACTTGCAGTCTTCTCCTCTTTTATACAAGAGACCATAGTCAATTGTACCTTTGACATATCTCAAGATCCGTCGGGCAGCATCCAAATGAGGTTTCTTCGGACTTTGCATGTATCGACTCATAACTCCAACTGCATAAGCAATGTCAGGCCGAGATAAAGTTAGGTAGATAAGACTACCTACTAGTTGTCGATACATCGTTCCATCGTCCAACTCTTTTCCTTCATGAGCACATATCTTGGCATTTGGCTCTATTGGTGTTGATATTGGCTTACACTCCAACATGCCAAACTTTTGAAGTATATCTCTTGTATACTTTTGTTGGCAGAGGAACAACCCTTCCTTTGTACGATCAACTTCTAACCCCAAGAAGTGTTTAAGTTCCCCCAGCTCTTTCATTTGGAATCGCACCGATAGATTTTCTCTTGTTTGATGGATTTCTCTTTCGTCATCCCCGGTGATGATCAAGTCATCCACATAAACCAACACAATTGCCAACTTCCCTTCTTTTTCTTTGATGAATAGGCTTGAGTCTGCATGTGCAACTAAATAATCACTTCGGGTAAGAAATTCAGCAATCTTACCATACCAGGCTCTTGGTGCCTGCTTCAATCCGTAAAGAGCTTTTCTCAACTTGCACACATGATTGGGATTAACTTCATCCTCAAATCCCTTTGGTTGGTTCATGTAGATCTCCCGATCTAATTCTCCATGCAAGAAAGCATTCTTCACATCCATCTGCCATAATTTCCAGTCTTTACTAGCTGCAAGAGCTAACAACACCCGTACAGTAGTTATCTTCGCCACTGGACTAAATGTTTCATCATAGTCCAATCCATATTGTTGTGAGAACCCTCGAGCCACCAGACGAGCCTTGTATCTCTCAATTGATCCATCTGGGCGACGCTTTATTTTATAAACCCACTTGCAGGAAATGGGTTTTAAATCTCTTGGTCTTGGTACTAGTTCCCAAGTTTGATTCTGCTCTAAGGCTGTAACTTCTTCTTCCATCGCCTTCTGCCAAGCTTTATTCTTAATTGCTTCTTCATATGTCTCCGGCTCTTTAACACCGTCTTCTAAAATGGCCGCATTAGCATACTTGGGATTAGGCTTTCGGATTCTTTCCGTCCTTCGAAGTTGTGGAGGCGGCGGCTCCCTTTCACCGGCATCACTTGTTTGAGTTACTTCTTGCTCAATGACATCAGTGTCGCTCGGATCTTCAGGTGTATCAACACTTGACCAAATATGTGCAGTTTGCTCCCCCATCTTTTGTTTTAAAACTTCTTCAATATTTTCCGAGTCTGGTAGTACTTTCTTCTCTGAGGACCACCATGAAGATGCTTCATCGAACACCACATCTCTTGAAGTGTAGCATCTTCCACTTGTTGGATCACAACATCTCCACCCTTTTCTTTGATTGTCGTATCCAACAAATATACACCTGACTGCTTTCTTGTCAAACTTGCTACGTAAATGACTAGGCACAAATACGTAGCAAACGCAGCCAAATACTCGGAAGTAGCTAACAGTAGGTTTCATGTTCCATAGTGTCTCAAATGGTGAGATGAAACCTAACCTTGGTTGGGGAAGTTTATTGATCACATGGGCAGCAGTTTGCATTGCTTCAGCCCAAAATCTTCCTGGGACATTCTTCGCGTGTAGCATGCTTCGACAAATTTCTGCAAGGTGCCGATTCTTTCTCTCAGCTACACCATTTTGTTGAGGTGTGTTGGCACATGTGAATTGATGACGTATACCACATTCTTGCAGATAGCGATTAAATTCTTCCGAGGTGTATTCTCCTCCATTGTCTGAGCGTAGACACCGAATCTTCTTTCTCACTTCTCCTCGACCGTTGTCTTGAATTCTAGAAACTTTGAGAATGTTTCGGACTTTTCTTTCATGAAGAAAACCCACACATATCTCGAATAATCATCAATGAACGTCACCATGTACCGCATCCCGCTAACTGATGTCTGCTTGACTGGACCGAACACATCTGAGTGAATTAACTCTAGTGGCTTCTTTGCTCTAAAATTTGACTCCTTGTATGGTAATTGATGAGCTTACCATACTGACATCCAGCACAAACACCATCTGTTTTAACTTCAAGTTGAGGTAAGCCATTGAGCATGGATTTCTCCATTATTACCTTCAACTTGTGATAACCAACATGTCCCAGCCGTGCATGCCATAGATCTGCTGTCTCGTTCTTACGAGTCTTGTCTACATAGGCAGACTCTGCGGAGAGCACATAAACGGACTCCACTCTCCGTCCTTCCATCGTTGGCTTTTCTGATATTTTAAGATCTCGATAGACCTTCACATCTTGTGGGCCAAACAAGACGTAGTTTCCTGACGATGTTAGTTGCGATACCGACAACAAGTTCTTCTTCATACCTGGCACGTGATAGACATTATGTAGTGACACCATGTCAGATTTATTACCAGGCATGATTGTTGTTTTTCCAATCTGAGCAATTGGAAGTCGTGCATTGTTGGCTGTAAGTACCATGCGACTCCCTTTGTACTCCTTCACGTCTTGTAGTTTGTTCTGATCGCCAGTCATGTGATTGGAGCATCCTGAATCAATGATCCAGTCATTTTCATAGTCGATACTCTCTCCCATAATTGCCATGAGTGCCAACTCGTTTTCTTCTATGGCACATAATGCCTCAGCATCCCATTCATCCTCTATTTCCTTTTTGGAAGTTACAACATTGCTTTCCACAGACTTTTTCTTTGACCAACAATCCTTGGACATGTGGCCCCACTTTCCACAGTTGTTGCAGTTGCCTTCGAACCTCCTCCCCCGAGAACTCTTATTGTCGGTCTTTTGAGATCTCCATGGTTGTGAGGTTCCTGGTTGACTCTTCCCTTTGTCAGCATTTTTGTATCCTTCTTTAGAAGGTGGCTTGAAATTCCTCCGACTTTTATTTGTGTAGAGTGCTTCTTCTTCATTCTTCAGCGTGATGCCTCCCATTTGCTTAGCCATAGCTTCTTGGCTGGCCAGTAAATTCTCAAACTCTACTAGTGATGGTTGAACGGGCCATCCTTGTACAGCAGTAATGAAGCTTCTATATTCTGGCCTGAGTCCATGGATGATGATCCTTTTCATTCGAGCTTCTGCAATGACGGATTGCGAAATCTAGTTCGGTAATCTCCCGACATATCGACTTGACCTTGTGGAAATATTGAGCAATCGTCATGTCACGTTGTGAGATTGATAATAGCTCGTTCTCCAAAAGTTGTAGTCTCGTATCATTCTTCTTTGAGAAAAGCATCACAAACGTGTCCCAAGCTTCTTTCGGGGTGTTCTCATCCCGAATATGCTCCAACATCTCTTCTTCGATTGTGGTCTTCAAGGCAAACATTGCTTTGCCTGCTTTGATTTTCCATTTGCGCAAAGCACCATTAACGTCTTCCTCTGGTGGCGTAGTTTCGCTTCCACCAACGACCTCCCATAGATCTTGTCCTTGTAAGTAGGACTTCATACATGTTTCCCACGTTTTGTAGTTGTTGTTGTTGAGTTTCTTGATTCCTCCGACGACTTGGAGATCACCCATCGTGTTGGCAGTACCTCGGTAATACCAAACAAGCTAGTTTCGACACTAAACTTGCAGAGTCACAAACTACTCACGATACAACGAGAATCACTCGTTCTCACTATCAAGAAACCTTGCTCTGATACCAGATTGTTGAACACGACTCTTTGTATGGGAAACAACAAGACTTTTATTAAGACACTTAAGAAGACCTTACACTTTGTGAGACTACTACACATTTTGCTTTCTTTGAGGCTTTCTTGGATGGTTTGGAGCAAATGAGCTCCATACCTATTTATAGGCCTCTTAGGAAGATTCTAGATACTAGCATACACTTACTACATACTAGATAACTCTAGAACATACTCTACATCCTTCCATATGTTTCTAGAACATTCTACCATGTTCTGGAGAAGTCTAGGTTGCTCCAGTGTCTTCTAGATTTTAGACATTTAAGTCTTAAACATCCAAATGAAAATTAAAAATATTTATAGAAACATGTTACAGACTTAGCCTTAGAGGTTACGACTTAGCATTAAAGGTTACGATTTACGATCTTAGACCATCCACCACGAGTCAAAATATCAAAATAGTTAAATGGTCTATGAATCAATGGTATATATTATATAATACTTATTAAATATTAATACTTGATATATAAATACATTTAAAAATAAAATAATTTTTGTATTGAGTATATAAACGGATTGACGGATCAACCCGTTTATTTTTTAAGAAACTCATATATGACCCGTTTAATAAACGGGTTAACGGGTTGAAAAACTCAACCCAAACTCATTTATTTCGTATCGTGTAGCGGGTCGTATCGAGAATTATCAGCGCTACTTGAACCCGTACCCGTATTTTTAGCCTTCGCAGCGACTTTAATCCATTTGGAAGATTTGGAAGAATGTATAAAATTTAGTTTGTGTTGGATATGGTTGAAGCATTCAATTTGGATATTTTTCCATTCAAGTCTCTGTCTTCGCGACTTTACACATGCTTTGACCTAACCATTTTCATGATCATCGTATTTCAATCTTAAATCAGAATAACTATTATATTCAACAACAAAAAAAATATAGATTTACATTCTTACAATACACAAACCAGTCAACCATGGTGTTCATCGGTAGACAGTTGACTTACTGTTCATCACGACCACTGCAACCATCGGAGCTGCCATTACAGCTCTGCTTGTAAAATGGAGACACACCCAGTTCGTAACCGATCTGAGCTTTTAAATTCAGCAACAATCTTCTAAGTCTCACAGCCTCTGCTTCAAGAGCAGCCTGAATCTGCAGTTTCCGAATCAATCCTCGGTTCGCAACCCGTAGTTTCTTAACTTCTTCCTCTAAATAAGCGTTCTGCGCTTTCTTCTTCTCTCGATACTTCCTAACCGCAACTCGATTTCCCGATGACTTCGCGGGTTTCACCGAAGCATGATCATCTGTGTGAGTTTTTGTAATCGTTCTTCTGTTCTTCATGGTGCCTTCGAGAAGTGAAGTTTCAAGCTTTGGTGGTGTACTGCAGGTGTTCGACGAATTGCCTGTGTGATGGTCCGAGAGCTCTGCCTCTCCATCTTCCATGTCGATTCCGCTACTCAATTTGAAGTTTAAGGTATGCGCAAGAATCCAAATTCCCAACACTTAAACTTCAATTCCTAGAGAAGAATGATTCTTGAAACCTCATTAGAGTTCCCAGTGAACATATTCACCAATAGTTATCACTTTTTGAAGAGCATAAATTCTTGGAGAAAGGTAGATCATAATATAAATTATAAACCACCAAGAACAGAATAATTACATAACAGTATTGATCATTTGTCAAAATCAGAAGCTTCTTCAAATGTAAAATATTACTAGGAAAAGCACCCACAACAAGATGAATTGTCGCTAGAAGACTTATAATTTATAAAGCAGTGGATTTGGAGAGAGAATATGCCCCCCCACTATTTTCCCAATGCTAGGAAGAATCAAGAGATTGAACTGTATATCAACACATCCATGTTTTGTACATGTTTCTAATCAGTTTTTATCGTTTTTATAGTGATACAAGTTAATAAAAGCATATAATAATGAGTATGAAAGAACTATAAAATATAAGTGTTTATGTTCATTTATAAATTTTCGCGGTATATTTTATATTAAAATCGAGTTAGTACTTAACTTTTGTATATGATTTTTTTTTTTAAATCATATTCAAGTTATACTAGAAAAATTCGTTATATGTTGTGCAAATGTTTTTATACGAACAAAGAAATACATACAAATTGTCATGTTTTATCGTTGCGAATAATCCGTAAAATTCTAATTATATCCAAATCTTTGACATATTTGTAGCGAGAATCAAAATAGTTATTTGTGGGGTTGGAACAAAGAAATAAAATAAGAGAAATTAAATATCATCTTACTTTTCTTTCTACTTTTCTTCCAACCTATTTAAGATGATGATAAGTGTATAAATTCAAAACCTCAATCAAATTTAAATTAAATTTAATGATACTTATCATCATCTAAAATTAGTAGGAGAATAATATAAACAAAAAGTAAGAGACTATCTAATTTCTCATAAAATAATAGCACCCAACTAAAAATACAAGTTGGTAAAAATATATATACAAGTTGGTTTACTAATACGAAATAAAATAATAACACCCAACTAAAAATTGATATAAAGTCAAAAATTATTAATAAAAAATAAAAGATAAGGTTGTTAACGTGAGACTGTTCCATTTAATTGAGGTGATAGGCTCTTAGATTGTAGGTTCTTAGTTTAAACTCGGACATAATCCAATTAACTAATCTGATAAATTTAACTTTTATTCAAAATCTACTGTTAAAAAAATAAAGTTATTAAGGACAAAAGATTAGGTTCGATTGGATTAGAAAACTAAAATATAATATAAATTTAGAAAAATATATCTTTGTTATTCAAGAGAACTTGACAAAAATATGTATTAATAAAGATGGAAAAGGGGATAATAATACAAATACTAAACTAGGAGTATTATAAATTGATTGAACTAGATTTATTAATAAATGGTTAACATGACTAGTTATTAAGGTTTATTTTAGCACGGAAAATTATATAATAAAAACCTCGAGACTCTTTTAGAACCATCCAAAAATTATTTTTCCTAATTCTATATTTATCCTAATAAAATCTCTTTTTATTTCTTTTTCACTTATCTTTTACCTTAAAAAAAATGATGTTAGAATCAACGCTACAAAGATTAACCTTTAGTACACATTCAAAATATCCTTATTTGTTTATAAAACTTTAAGAAATAAAGTACAACAACCAAATATGCCATACATATTCTATACTTGTAGAAATTGTGAGGGTTCAAATTTGAACATTTATGCGAGTCGAATTTGGTTTTTTGTGAGCACTAAGCTTCTATGATTAAAGGCATTAGACCTTCCTTGTGGCTCAATTGCAACCATAAAAGCCCAATAGTGTGACAATAATCGATGCAATGTCGAATCCCCACCATTGTTGATAACTATCATCATTTTTTTTTTTACTATTATATGATTCAGATTATCTACTAAAAACCAGCAAAACCAAGCTTTTAAAGAAAATGCATATCATAAAACTAATTCACTATTATGTATATCTTATAATATTTTGTCATGATTACCAGTATCTAATCATGTTAGGAGATTAGGTGGTAAAGATATGTTTGCCAATCACCTTCTAATTTACTTGACTTTGGCACCTCCAGTTGGAACTATTATTTAGTCCCTTTATTATTTTACTTCACACATGAAATGATTGTGTATTTGTGTTTCATGTACATGGATATATGGGGATAAAATGGTGAAAATCTACATGTTGTGGCAAACCAAAGATAAATTCATGGCCACGAACGATTGGGAGATACGGAATGATAACATTGTCATATGATTATAAAAAAGAGAAATTACAAGGGTTCTCAAAGAAAAACATAAAGACTATAAATAATAAATCGGATATAAATACTAGCTAGACAGAAATTCTAATGGGCTGAAGACAAAAGGGCATAAATACTAGCTAGACAGAAACCCTAATGGGCTGAAGACAAAAGGGCATAAATACTAGCTAGACAGAAACCCTAATGGGTTAAAGACAAAAGAGCTCATAAACAAGCGGACTAATGATATATAGACTAACACCCCCCCCCCCCCCTCTCCCCTCTCAAACTCACAATGTCGCAGCAATAAGCATTAAGAGTTTATCACATAAAAACCGGAACCGAGAAGCCGATAAAGCCTTCATAAAAATATCTGCAAGCTGCAAGGTTGATGAAACAAATGGAAGCGAAATGGTCCGAAGCTGCAAGTGAAAACGAGTAAAATGACAATCAATCTCAATGTGTTTCGTCCGCTCATGAAAAACAGAATTCTTCGCAATTTGTATCACACATTTATTATCACAATACAAGGGAGTAGGTGAAGAAATGTAAACTCCCATATCCGTAAGCAGCCACCGTAACCAGATAATCTCGCATGTAGTTACAGCTATAACACGATATTCAGCTTCCGTGGAAGATCTAGAGACAACATCTTATGTCTTGCTCTTCCATGAAATAAGAGACTCTCTAAGAAATACACAAAATCCAGTGGTAGACTTACGATCATGACGATCACCATCCCAATCAGCATCACTATAGGCACGTAACTCAAGAGAAGACGTCGAGGGAAACAAGAGAGTCTGAAACTGAGTACCACGAAGATATCTCAGAATATGAAGAACAGCTCCCCAATGAACAGAGGTAGGTGCAGTAACAAACTGACTGACAACATGAACAACATGAGCAATATCTGGACGAGTAACTGTTAGATAAACCAAACTTCCCACCACAGTGCGATAAAGATTCGGATCAGGCAAAGGAACACCATCAGTAGGAGAGTATTGTGCATTGGTTTCACTAGGGGTATCAACAGTCCGATTGTCAGAAAGTCTTGCCCGTGTAAACAAGTCAAATATATATTATTATATTTAGTCTGGGAAAGAAGGTACCCTTTCTTAGACTAAGCGACCTTAATACCCATGAAATAATGCAACAATCCCAAATCCTTCATAGCAAATCGACGAGTTAGATCATGCTTCAAAGACTCAATACCACCATGGTCATCACCTGTAATAATCATGTCATCCACATATAAGGACAGAAGAATTCGTCCTGCACTCGAGTATCTAATAAACAGAGCAAAATCGTGATTACTCTGGACAAATCCAAGAGAGGATATTAATGTGAAGAATTTATCAAACCAATCACGAGGGGCTAGCTTGAGCTCATACAAAGCTTTGCGAAGCCGACAAACCTCGCCCAGTCGGTGCTGAATTCCTGGAGGAGGGGTCATATAAACCTCTTCATGAAGGTCACCATTCAAAAAGGCATTCTTGACATCCATTTGAAAGATCTTCCACTGTCGAATGGATGCAACTGCAATCATAGTACGAACTATCGTCATCTTTGCAACCTGGGCAAATGTCTCCTCGTAGTCAAAACCATACTGTTGGGAATACCCTTTTGCTAAAAGTCTAGCCTTATATCATTCAACAGGACCATCAACTTTTGTTTTTATCTTGTACACCCAACGACAACCTATCGTATGTTTCCTAGGAGGAAGAGAAACCAAATCCCATGTATGAGTCTGATGAAGAGTAGTAAGTTCTTCAGCCATAACATTCTGTCGAAGAGGATCTGAAACGGATTCTCTATATGATTCAGGCTTAGAAAGATGATGGATGCTTGCTATAAATAAATCAAACGGTCCTAGATATGTAGAGTAAGAAAAATCAAGTAGCTTGGTGGACTTGACATGACGAGAAGATCTCCTGAGGGGTGCTGGTGGAGGTGGATCCTCAACTTCAATAATCGAAGGATCAGGCTCAGGAACAGGTGGAGTTGAGGCACCCTCTGAAGAAGTGGGTGTGTCATGAGCTAAGGAATCATGTGACATAGATGAGTCTTGAGTCTCTATATCTTCATTAAAAGGATCAATACGTAGAAGATCAGACTTTGTTACACTGTGGGCTGTAGCAGGAATCGAGTAGAAAGGAATATGTTCCAAAAAAGTAACGTGTTGGGAAACATATAACTTCTGACTCACAAGATCATAGCAACAGTATCCTTTCTGACCAATACCATACCCCAAAAATACACAAATAGCATATTTTGGCCCCAGCTTGTTCCTTTCAACATGAGGACGAAGAACAAAACAAGTATATCCAAAAATTTATAAGGAAGAGTAGTCTGGTAGATGACCATATAGCTTCTCAAAAGGAGATATTTCTAAATTCAATGAAGTAGGGATACGATTAATAACATACACAACAGGTAGGACCGCTTCTCCCCAAAAGGCACTAGGGACCTGCACAAACAAGAGCAATGAGCGGGCAGTCTCAACAATATGACGATGTTTTCGTTCTGCCACACTGGTTTGTTGAGGTGTGTCATTACACGAAGACTGGTGTATAGTACCATCAGAAGCAAGTAACTGAGTGAAATCATTAGAGGTATATTCACCCCCTAAATCACACCTGAAGCACTTAATCACACCCAAATGTTGAGTTTTAACAAGAGCTCTAAAATTGT